CCAGCTCTTCAGTTTTTGTTGTCTTTTCCATCTTCTGATCCATCTGCATCATGTCTCCCTGAGATTCCATTCACAATCCATGTGTCTGTCTTCCAGCACTAGGGTGGATTCATTATTTAAAAATACACATTGGAGGGAGGGTATAGCTCAGTGGTAGAGTGCGTGCCTAGCTTACCAAGGTCCTGGGTTCAATCCCCAGCACCATCATTAAAAATAAATAAATAAATAAAACCCTAATTTCCTCCCCCTCAAAAAAAATACACATTGAAAAAAAAGGTTTCATAACAAGAAAAAAAATACACTTTGTTCTTTTTAACACTAATGTATTCTGCACTTAAAAATGGTTAAGATGGTAAAATTTATGCTATGTATTTTTTTTTATCGTAATAAAAAAAACTTCACGTAGTTCTTAAACTGTCAGTGATCTTTGGGAAGAAGGAGAGGTGAACACATGGGCAAAACTCCCAGTCTTGAACCAAAAGGTAAGGGGAAGACTAGATGTGAAATTAACCAGGCATGTATTTCTCCCTTTTAATTTCACTGTGAAAATAATACTTTAAGTCTAATGATCTAAGAACATACAACAAAGCTCAGCCACCCTTAACACGGCTCTAAGTTTTGCCACCAAATGGGAATAACGTACATTAGAACTCACTCCTTTGGTTGAGAGGACAGAAACCAAATTTGAACCAGCTTTATGATTATAGTAAAAATGTGTTTACTATGTACCAGGCACATGGTGAGCATTTCACATCCATGTATCTCAACCAGCCTGCACAATGGCCCAGGGGGACAGGAGTCAGCGTGTCAGTCCCTGAAGGCAGGTGCCTGGCATGGGGCCTGCACGAGGGCTACTATTGTCCCCAACTTCCAGAGCTCATGCGGAGACACAGGGAAGCTAGGCAGCTTTCCCAGGCCACCAGGGCATCTGGTAGTTGAGCAGGGAGTCCAATCCAGGCCAGCCCTTCCACCTCTCTTTTACATGGACTTTCAACCTAGAAGGGAAACTTACTGGCTCTTAAAACCAAATGCAAGAAAGGCAGATTTCAGGGACAAGCTGGGGCTCAGCCTCTTCAGATCCCTCCTTGTCTCTGGTATCTGCACTCCTCTCTGGGCTACTTTCTTCCCGAGGCTGGAGCCTGGGTCAGCAGTAGCTCCTGAGCTGCACTCGCCTGTGTATGCCAGGGGCAGAGAAAGAGAAGGTGCCAGAGCAGGGTTCTCACTGGCCCTGCTTGGGCCACAGCTCACTGCCATGTGTCAGACCCTGGTTCCTCCACTGACATGTGACTTTGGCAAGTTAAGCTACTTCTAGCTTGCTTTGTTTCCTCATCGGTTGAATAAGGACAAAGATGGTCTTGCTTAGGGATTTGGTGATGACTGAATGAGCTAGTACATGTCATACACTTAGACTGACATGCAGTGCTCAAAAACCTGGTGAGCATTCTATTTTCATAGTTCTTATTATATATTTCTTTTTCATTTAAATAATTTTCATAAAGCTTTGTGGTGGTCTCCCTGGTGCAGTCTCCCTACGAAGTTGTAACCACTGCCTGTCCTGCACAATTTTGGAGTCTGAAGTATGCTGTTCTTTGTGGTCCTCAGGACCACCAAGCCAAGACAGATAACATACAAGGAGTCCTGGGCAGGCCACACTCCTCTGAGGGACATATTAAGGCTGCCCAGGATTTCCACAGAAATACAGGCCCAACTGAATTCATAACCCAAGTCACAAAATTCTCACAGAAAGAATCCACCATGGATCAGTCGGTGAGCACCGCAAAGAGCAGGATTAGACCACCAAAAAGCTCCTACACAAAGAAACTATTGACTAGAATTAAAAAATTTATATTTTTGAAATGATTAAAGACAGAAGAAATCTAAAAATGCATCAAATAAGAAAGAAAAAGACAATATAAAGAAAGAGCAAGCAGATTTGATAATATACAAAATAAGGCTTGTAGAAATAAAATCTATGGTCATTGAAATTTAAAATCTATAGGAAAAAAGCCCTCTATGAATGGGATTAACAGCAGAGTCAACTCGAGCAGAATTAGTGAGACAGAAGTCAGAAATGGGAAAATTACCCAGAATGAAGCACATGGAAAGAAAAATCTTCAAAATATTGAAGAAAAAAAAACTTGTCAATTTAGAATTCTGCACTGGCTAAATTATCATTCAAGAATGAGGGTGACACAAGATATTTCAAAGACAAAGAATTTGTCACTACCAGACGTTCATTAAAAAATTTTTTTCATAGTGTGTACCAGCAGGAAGAAGAAAATTCAAGCCAGAAGGAAAGTGAGTAAAGAGCTGGTTGACATGTGACTCAGTCTAAACATGGTTCACTGCTCTACAGAGCAGCAACAATATTTAAAATTCTTACTATACATGGAAGGAAGGTAGAGAGATTAATTAACTTCAGACTCTGTTAATCATGCATGCTAAAAATCTAAGTGCATTTATGAAAATGATGTAACATGTCACTTCCAAAACAACGGGAGTTGTGGGAAAGGGAATGAAGATAACATGATAATCAAACGGAAGGACCAAAGGGAGAAAAGCAACACCAAGGAGGGAAAAGACCCCAAAACACACAATAAAGTGGGAAAGACACAACAACGCACAATAAGGTGGGAAAAACCAATTATAACATATCACTAATCACAATAAAACACCATTAAAGGTTGAAAATTCTGAGATTGGTTTTTATAAAAGTCTGGCTACAAATACTACTTACCAGAAGCACACCTAAGAATACAGGATGAAGAAAGGATAAAAGGAAAGTGATGGAAAAAGGTATATGAGGTTAATACAAAAAAAAGTATTGTGGTTCTATTAATTATTGAAAAATAAAGTTAAGGCAAAAGGCATCACTAGGGATAAAGAAGGGCACCACATAGTGATAACAGGAACACTTTATCAGGAAGCTATAGTGATGCCAAACTTGTCAACATTAAAAACAAAGTCTGAAAAGACATGTAAACCCCATATTGGCAAATTTCATGGAGAAATGGCTAAAATGGGATTTTATCTCACTCCTGTTAGTAATTTATAAATCAAGCAGATGGAACATTAGAAAGGGTGTAGAATATTTGAATAATACAAGTAATAAGGTCGATACAATGGAGATTACACATCTCCTTGCATCCAGTAATTCCTATTGGACTATACATATGGCTATAAAGAAAGTCTTCATAAGATCCCACAGATCAGTATTATGCAGACCATCTTCCTTGACCACAGTGCAATGAAATAATAAATCAGTAGCCAAAGGTTAGTCCTCCCTCCCCCAAAACCTAGTATACACTTGAAATTTTAAATAAGCATGCTTTTCAGCAATTCCTAAAGCAAACAATATAATTGATATTAGAAAATTCAAGAGATGAAATTAAAAATACTACTTATCAAGACTTACTGGACATAACTAAAATGGCACTTGGAAATTTACAGCCTGAAATGCTCATTGTTGGAAAAGAGAAAGACTGAAAATTGAGTTAAGTATCCAGTTGAAGAAATAAGAAAAAGAATCTTAACAACAACCAAAACAGTAGAGAGAAATAAACAGAATAAAACAAAATAGAAATAGAAATGATGAACAAAATGAAAAGTTGATTCTTTAGAAATATATTTGTGTTCCTAGAAATATAAAACACATCAGACTCAGGTTGAAATAGAACCTAAATATACTGATAGATGTTAAAATAACTAGAAGCCATAAAAAAAAAAACTATCCACAAAAATTATATGAGGTCCAGACGGCTTTACAGTCAACTGAACATTCAAGGATTCTAATCCATGGAAACTGCTCTGGAGCTTGGAGAGGGTCTGACCTGAAGAGAGGACATTGGGGGTAAGCAGTCTGTATAGATAGAGGTTTGGCAGCTATGCCCTGAACATCTCCTTAGCTCCAGGTACTACCACTCCAGGGCCTTGGACACACCAGTGACACCAAACTGGCAAAGCTCCCTCCCCACAGGGTGTCTACATTCCGGCTGGGAAAGACAGATCTTAAACAGTAAGCAGCAGGGAAGTAGATTACAGGGTGTGTGGGAAGACAACAGCCACTGTGGAAGGGGGAGGGGCACCTGGGGAAGAATCTAGACTGGGAGAGAAGATGGGGCAGCCCACCCCCCTACATTGTCAAAGAAACCAAGTAGGGGAGGATTCAGGGTGAGTGAGGTGAGACAGCAGAGAAGGCAGGCCTGCATGGTTTTCAGAAGGAAGTGCTGTGGGGCCAGGCCACTGCGGGCTGAGGCATGAGGAGGGGGAGGACTGGGATTTGGGTGAGGAAGTGGGCCCCGCCCCAGAGTGTAAACGGAGGCAGGGAGGGATGGTGTGGTGCAGGAGGGCCCCCAGGAGGGCCAGGAGGTGAGGCAGACAATGCACACTCAAGGGAGCTTCAGACCTTGTGGGTGTGGGGCACCAAGGGTGTCAGAGGGACTTTGTAGTGGCCGGTGGGCCTAGGGCTGCTGTGGGGTGGTAAGCAGGGGTCCATCCATTATGAGTTTGACTCTGCCAGGTGCTGTTTAGGTGCTTTGCCCACGTGAGCGCCCCCATGTGTCTGAACTGTGGGGAGGCGAGAACCACGGGTCTAATGGAAGGAAATGGGAGGCAGAAGGACCATGGCGCCTGGGCAGTCCTCACCTTCAAGGACAGGGACAGGAGAGCAGACGGGCTGGGCTGGAGATAAGAAGCCTGAGGGTCTTTTATTCTCAACAAAAGAAGGGGCAAAGACACCCCTGTCCCTGGGCTTCCTGCTCTGTAAACCCACCACACTGCAGGGACAGGAGGACATCATGTGGGTTAGGTGCTTCTGGGTATTGCCAGGGTGGTGGTGGGGCCAGGGGAGTGGAGCGGGCTTGGAATTCATTCATACAAACCCATTCTTTGCGCCAGGCATTCTGTAGAACCAGTGCTGAGCAAGGGCTCCAGTGTTGGCTGACTAAGCTTGGAGACCAGGAGTGTGTTGGTCACTGATTGCAAAGATGTGAGGCTTTGTCCTGAAAGCTTGGCAGTCACAGTACTGGTCTCACTAAGGACAGTGGGCTGGTGAGGAGGCCTGGGGAGGCTGAAGGGGCCCCTATGAGGTTCAGACTGGGTGGACAGTTGGGCACCTGGCTATCCAGGCCAAGGGCAGGTTTGCAGAGAGAGCAGAGGCCTGGGCTGCTCTGAGCCTGGTTGTGGGGAGAGGTGCAGCCTCCTGCTCAGCCCCACTATGAATCAGGGACTCTGGTGAGCATGTCCATGGCCTTGCAGCCACAGTAGGAGGGGTGAGGGATGGCAGGGAGGGGCAGCTTTGAGTGATTCCAGGAGGGGAGAACAGGGGCAGGAAGATGGTGGAGACAGGATGGGGCCTGGAAGCACCAGTTTCCTCTCTCCAGGGCTGGGCCACAGGAAATCCAACCCTCATGCTTCCCAAGGTGCTTCCTGCAGATAAGGGGGCTTCCGACCGCCCTTTCCTGCTCCCCCCTTTCCCTACACCTCCCATCCTGCTCCAGCCCCAGGGGACCCTGAGCTCTCCCACTCAGTCCAGGCCAGTGGCCTTGGGAAGAGCCTGGGGCAGGGTGGTGGTGGGGAGGTCTGGGCATCCTGGGGCCACACTTCTAGGCAGGAAGGGTCCGCCCAGGCTCGGGGAGAAAGCAGACCAGACCACAGACAGCGCTGGAGATTCGGCTCTTCGGGGTCAGTAAAGTCTTGGGAAGCAGAGATTTTTTTCCTGAAGGAGTGGTGGGTAGTGGAGGAGAGAGCCCAGGCTCCCTCAGGGGTCAGGACTGGTCCTGGGGAAGAGGACTCAGCTCTGGGGTCGACTAGAGGCTGTTCTGGGGGCAGAGGGGTGGTATTGTGGGCTTTGTGGTGGTCAAGGTGGCCCTGTGGTGGTGGGGTCTATGTGGGGCTCTGTGGGGAGGGGGCTGTTCTTGGAAGGGATGTCAAGCGTTGCTCAGTGACAGGTCAGGATATTTCCAGGTTGTCATGGGAAGGGGTAGGGAGATTTTCTGTGTGTGTGTTCATTCAAGTTTATTCCTGGGAGGCTCACGGGACCCAGGGATGCTCTTGGAGAAACTGGGTGAAGATGGGGCCTTTTCTATCAGGGACCAGAAGGTGTCCCAATGCTGGGTTGTTCTGTGAAGGTTATCAAGGGTGTCTTGTGAGAGGGTGAGCGGCTCTGCGCTGGGGGTCAGGGCCTGTTCTTTGGGAAGGAGTCAGGCATGTTGGGGGAGTTTTGTGGGAGTCAGAAGCTGCTTCTTAGGAAACCAGGGATATTTCGACGTTTACGGGCTGCTATTTGCTTTCGGGGACCTCGGGGCACAGGGTTTCGCAGCACAGGGGTAGTTCTGTGAGGTTGATCAGTGTCGTGGGGCCTGGCGCGCTCCAACGGGGCGGCGGTGCCTAAGCTGGTCTCTTTACTGCGCTCCCCTCTCCTCCGCCCACTCATCACCCCCTCCCGCGTTGCCACGACAACGCGTAAAACTAAAATTCACTTCCCAGTCGCAGGTGGAGACTAGTAGCGCCCCCTCCCCTAAGCCCTTCCTCATGGGTCGCGCCCTCACACTGTCGTCGCTAAGGTGACTGGGAGGGGGTGACAGACGCTGCATCTAGGTGGACCAGAGGACCCGAAGAGGGGGGAGATGGAGAGGCGGGCTTCAGAGTCCGGAGCGAACTCCCCAAACTCGGCTAGGGGTGGGTGAGCCGCGCTAAACACTGTGTGGTCCTAAGGGTTAAGTCGAAGGGTTAATCGGCTCTGGCTGTGGGAGAGCCCCTGGCTTCTCCAGGTTTCCGAGTTCCCCACCGCCCCACTCCCAGGACTGGGTCAGGGTGGTCCCTGTCATCTCCGGGGGCCTTGAATGGGGTGGGGAGGGGAGGTCGGTAGAGTGAGGAGAAGCTACCACCCCCGGAAATTAATTCTCCTGTTTTTCTCTCCCTTTCCTGCCCTGCCCCTGGTCCCTGTGCCCAACACGGCCCCCACCCCCGCTCCAGGACCCCCTCCTCGCCGCTTCTTCCCCGGTGGTCCACGGATGCTCTTCCTCAGCCAAAGGGCGGTGCGGCCCTCGCTGCTCAGCCACTACCCCCACACCGAGGCCTAGGACTCCCCACACCCCCGGCGCAGCCCCTTAGGGCCCCCACCCTGCTGCGCGGCCCTCACCCTTCGAACGAAACCCCTTCCTCACCCCAGGACCCCACAGAGATTCCCCCGCCCTCGGCTGGCCCTGAGCCCTCTCGGCCCCCGCCTCCAGCGCAGCCCCCTTGCCACCCCCGCTTCTCT